AAGCTCTCAATGGAAATAGTTGCCTCGCAGCAACAACCTCTAGAGGTAGCTCCTCATCCACAGGAGGCAGACATGATGATGGAGATTGAAGTAGCTCTACCCCCTCTTACTATCTCAAATGTAGCTAACCAGAAGAATCACGACCAAAAAGAAATGGTGGTTGCCATCACCAGGACTTGGAAGAGATCAACAAAATCTAGGGGAAGACTCCAGAGACAACCTACCCAAAATTCAGTATCTGGTTCTGCTTCAGGTTCAAAAAGGGATAGAGGACATATCAGTGGCCAAGGGGAGGAGGAAGTCTATCAAGAATTAGGTACACCAGCAGGAAAAAAGAACAAAGGATCATCTGAAGAGGTGGGGGATGCCAGCACACTTGGAAATGGTGGACAATTAGTTAGAGCGCTATATCCTTTTGAATTGAATTGCCCGAGATGCAGAAATACAACAAGAAGTCAGTCTTCAATGCCTGGAAGAAAGAAATAAGTCATAGCTTCAAAACTAACACTACCTCTAAGCCCTCCTCCTTAGTCCGTTGTCATCCTCTCTTGCGAAAGCAGGTGGTTGAGTGAGGCGCGGTGGTTAGCTTCGGAGGTTAGCGTTGGGGAAGACGGGTGGATTATAGAGCTAAGGGCGGATCGAAGGTTTTTCCATTGGGATTGGACATGGACGAGCCTCGACTGGGCCAGCATTGATGAAAAAATGAAATGAATAACCCAACCCCCAAATGTTAGCTGCAGTGTGGAATTGTAGAGGGCTGGGTGGGCCCTCTACAGTTTTCCAAATCAAAGAGTCTTTTAGGACTCACCACCCAAAATTTTTCTTTTTGTCTGAAACTAAAAATAATAAAGCTTTTGTTAAATCTATTTGTAGAAAGTTGGGTTTTGCTGATAGACATTGTATTGTGAATCCTAATGGGCAGAGTGGTGGTCTTCTGCTTCTTTGGCAACAGGAAGTGGATATTATGCAGCTGGTTGCCAAGGACTTCTATATTGCAGTTCATTTCAGCATTGATCAGGTGGATCATGGTTGGGGAGTGTTTGTTTACTTAAGTGCTGACAGGAGTACCAGAGAAGCTCAATGGTTGATTTTAGAGGAGGACAAGACTGAGTGTGGAGATATATGGTTCACTATTAGGGATTGGAATGCCATTTGCAATAGGGAAGAAAAGCAGGGAGGAAGATTCAGACATGACAGAAGCTTTGATGGGTTTAATAACTTTATTTCTAATATGGAGATGGAAGAAATTGGCATGGAGGGATACCAGTTCACTTGGGCCAACAATAGGGAGTCTGAGGGGTTGGTGGAAGAAAAGCTTGACAGGGCATTTGCGTCATATCAGTGGCTTAGCAATTTCCACAGGGCCAAAGTTATTAATATCCTTAGAACTGCCTCAGATCATTCCCTGATTATTCTCAATACAGGGGCCCTCACTACTAAACTGAAAAGAAGATTCACATTTGACAGAAGATGGATTGCTAAAGAGGGGATGGAAGAAGTGGTTAGAAATGCTTGGCTCAGACCTCAAACTGGCACTCCATTTTTTCAGCTAAAAGAAAGGGTGAAGCAAACTAGAATTGACCTGCTTATTTGGAGCTCTAAGTTCAGATCTCAGAATCAAGAGAAGATTGCCAGTCTTACTAACAAGCTCAACTCTCTAAGATCAGATGGTAGAAATTCTAACTGGGAGGAATGGGACACTATCAAGCATAATCTTGATGCTGCTTATGATTTTGAAGAAAAATTCTGGGCCCAGAAAGCAAGGAGTCAGTGGCTAAAGGAGGGAGATTCCAATACCAAATTCTTTCATGCTTATACCATTCAGAGGAGAAGATTGAATGCCATTTCCAGGCTCATTACAGACACCAATAGAGTTTGTTCTTCTAGGGAAGAGATTGAAGACCATATAACCAGCTACTACTCCTCTCTATTCACTTCAGAAGGCTCTTGGGGAGGAGACTCTCTCCTTCATCTTATCCCTCAGTCTATATCTGATGATGTGAACCAGCAACTGCTCCTGCCTGTGGAAGATTCAGAGATAAAAGAAGCCTTGTTCAGTCTCCATCCAGACAACTCTCCTGGGGAAGATGGTATGACTGCTTTCTTCTACCAGCACTTTTGGAATTTGATTCATAGGGATTTAATTTCTGCTGTTCAAAGTTTCTTTAACTCTGGAATGTTCTTAAGATACTGGAACCATACCATCATCACTCTGGTTCCAAAGTGCAATTCTCCTTCCTCTCTGAACCAGTACAGACCCATCTCTCTTTGTAGTGTTATTTACAAAATCCTATCCAAATTGCTGGCTACCAGATTGAAACTTTGTCTATCTTCTTGCATTAATTCTTGCCATTCAGCTTTCATTCAAGACAGGCAGTTAATGGATAATGTGATTCTGGCACAAGAGGTATTTCATTTTCTAAACAGGCGCAGATCAGGGAAAAATACTTTCATGGCCCTGAAACTTGACCTCATGAAGGCATTTGACCGAGTGGAATGGATCTGCATTGAAAAAATCATGCTTAGAATGGGCTTCAGCTTGGATTTTGTTAAATTGTTGATGGTGTGCATATCCTCTACTTCTATCTCTTTCTGTGTGAATGGTTCTTTGACTGGGCTCATCTATCCTACAAGGGGTATTCATTATAGTCACTGAACTTTTGTCTGCTCTTATCTGTGATGCTGTCAATAGAGGTGTGCTTTCTGGGATCAGGCTTTCTAGGAATGGTCCAGCTCTTTCCCATCTGTTTTTTGCAGATAATGCTTTATTTTTCTGTAAAGCTGAAGTGGGGCAAGCTAGTGTTCTGATGCAACTTCTGGAGAGATATAGATGTTTTACTGGGCAAAGGGTGAATCTCCAGAAATCCTCAGTGTTCTTCAGCAAAAACACTCTTGCCATTGCTCAAAATAGCATTTTTTCAGCTTTGAATGGCATTCAGGTGCACTTCTCTACTAGATATTTGGGACTTCCCCTGGGAATAGGTAAATCTAAAAAAGGAGGTTTTCTCTTATGTGGTTGAATCTGTTAAATCTAAGTTGTGGAACTGGAAGAATAAAATGATTTCTGTGGCAGGCAAAGAAGTGTTACTTAAAGCTGTTATTAATGCAATGCCAGTGTTTACTATGTCATGCTTTAAACTTCCAGTGTCTACTTGCAAAGTGATCTCCAGCTTGAGTGCTCAATTCTGGTGGAGCAAAGGAGAATCTCAAGAGAGAGGCATCCCCTGGAAAGCTTGGAAATATATAACTATCCCTAAGGAGTTTGGTGGCATTGGCTTCAAGGATATCAGTGCCTTTAACCAGGCTTTAATTTGCAAACAACTTTGGAGATTAGTTTCTCAGCCTGATCTTCTGGTAAGCAAGGTGCTCAAAGACAGATACTTTCCCCAAGGTTCCATTTTTATGTTAAAAAAACCCAGGGTGGATCCTGGATCTGGAACTCTTGGGTGGAATGCTTGCCTATCTTGGCTAAAGGGCTCAGAATTGAGATAAATAATGGAACTGCCACCAGAATCTCTGACTTTGGGTGGATCCCTGATTTGCATGGCCAAAAACCATCTCTGCTGGAGGTTGCTAGGGGTCACATCAATTTGGTACAGGAGCTTATCCATGAGGATGGTTTTCAGTGGAACTCTTGGCTAGTGAACCATTTATTCAATGCAGTTGGCAGCAAAGCTATCCTCAATATTAAATCTCTGAATCCCCTCAAAGGTGACAAAGTGTACTGGTGTCTAGAGAAAAATGGGAAGTTCTCTGTTTCCTCAATATATGCCTATCTCATCCACCAGAAGGTGCTGAAGTTTGATATCCCAGGCAGCATCAGGAATGCTCAAGCTATCAAAAAAGCAAGATTTAGAACTTGGAAACTCAAAGTCAAAGGTACTATCAAGCACTTCCTTTGGAAGTGTCTCTCTGGCACTCTTTCTGTCAACTGAAATTTGGCTAAAAGAGGGATTGATGTGGATGTCCTTTGTGGCTGCTGTGGTGAGTCTGCTGAGACCATCGAGCATGTGCTTTTTCACTGCTCAAGGGCAAAAAGGTTGTGGAAACTGAGTCCTGTTCAATGGGAAGGGGTCACAGATGAAGGGCTTTCCTTTAGCTCCTGGTGGTGGCATATCTGCTCAATTAATAAAACCCAGGTAGTTGAAGACCGGATCCAACTCACAACCTACCTGCTATGGTGGTTGTGGAAATCCCGGAACTTATGGATCTTTGAGCACACCCTAATGCCCATCCAGGTGGTGGTTGCCAAGGCTCAACAGGCTTGGATGGAGTTTAGTCTTTCCAAGAGATAGTTCTTTGCTTTGTTCTTTCTTTGCTAGCTTCCCGGTTGGGTTGTTGTTTGTCTCTGTTGCTGTTTTTGGTTTGTTGTCTCTGTTCTTTTGCTGTTTTTGTTGTTGGTTGTCCCAGGCTGTTCTCTGATTCTTGTTGCTGGGTGGCCATGGTGGTTTGTTTTAGTTGTAGTGTTTCTGTTGGTAGTTGTTGTTTGGAGTTTGGTTCAGGGCTAGGCTTTGGTGCAGTGGTCCTATTACCCTTCTTCGGGGTCTTTGAGGTCGTTTTAGGCCACCTTCTAGGTGTGTCCTCTCAGTTGCTTTCTCTTTGTGTTATTGGATTTTTTGATCCCGTTGTATTCGAACGCTTGTTCCCTTGGTTATTGTATAATATTTCTATCATTCCGGCAAAAAAAAAA